ACCCATGTAACCAAAATTCACTTGTACCCTTAAAGCTACTGAAACTTAAAAAAAAAATTAAAAATTTACCTCTACTGCAAAACCCAAGATAATATGTAGAAAAAGTACTAGAATTATTAAAAGAATTTAGCAAATTTGAAAAATATAAGATTACTCTACAAAAGGCAATCACAAGACTTCTGCTTTTGCTTTAAATGCAGAAAGATGCTCTCGAACAAGAAAACAAAACAAAAAGTAGATAAAGTACAAAGTCATGACTTTTCTCTAGCTTGTCAGCGAACTAAGGTCACAAGATAACCAACTAACCTGAAACCCAGAGCAATAAGCCATTCCAGGGAGAGACTGAACACCAGGACAGTGTCACCTGTGGAAGAACATGGGAAGGAGAAACAGTGCTGACCTCAACACAAGCAAGTAAGAGTTAGCTGAAGTTGTAAAAAAGGGCCAAAGGTCAGGTATATGCTAGCACGTGAGTCTGGAAGTGCTTGGGCACCTGACAAATGGGAGTCTGTACTCACTTGCAGACTCCACTGGCTTCCCTTGAAGGCTCGTGGCAAGGACTGGGGCAGGACCATAGACCAGAGACAGCCACCACTGGTGGTACAGGTAGTTTGTGGGGATCAGAGGTTGGGAGGAAACAGACCTGAAGCATCACCTACTTCCCTGAACCTTCTCTCATAGGAAGTAAAAGCCTTAAACCACAGAAGGTTAGGCATTAGATACTTTTGCACACAGGCCTCAAAAGAGCTGATCAGTGACTGAGGGTTAGGGGGTGTCAGGAGGGTGCTGGTACAGAAGTCCTGCCTCCCTCCCTCATCCTTTTTCTTATGAAGCAAACACTTTTACCTACTGTCAGAGAAGAAGTAAGGGTCCACTCACTTACAAGGCCCAAGGAAAGATATGTGGCAGAGGAGGGAAGGAGGAAATAATAACTTATATCCCTTAAGAAGAATCAGGAAACCGTCTTGGTCCTAAAATTCTACAAGAACTAATAATTATCTTACTGCTAGAGGAAGAGCACGAAATTCCCACCCAAGATCTATCTAACAGTAATATAAGGCAGAGTTTGGTTGCAAGAGGTAATTTCCATTACCAGGTTTTGGGGTTTTTATTTTCCTTAATGGAACTTGACAAGCTGAGTCTAACATATAAATGCAAGACCAAAAGCCGAGAAAAGGCAGAGGGAGGGGGTTATTCACACGTGTTTCATAATTAGAGTCATTTAGTCAGTGTGTCACAGAGAAGACAAATACACCAGTGAAACAGGAGAGAGGACAGGAGCAGACCTATGCATATATGGGACCAGGATATATCACAGGGCAGTGCTGCAGATCAGTGGGGGAAAGGAGGGGCTTGTATGGACAATAGATTACCCACATGAAAAAAGGAAAAACTCAATTCCCACTTCACCCTAGACACATCAATTCTACATAGGTAAAATTGAAAAGCCGGGCGGGGTCGCTCACACCTGTAATCCTAGCACTTTGGACAGCCAAGGTGGGCAGATGACTTGAGCCCAGGGAGTTCAGGCCAGTGGCAACCACCTGGAAAGCCATCGTCTACAAAAAAAAAAAAAGGAAACAAAAAACCCAAGCTGGCTGGGCATGGTGGCATGTGGTGTCTGTAGTTCCATACTCAGGAGGCTGATGTAGGAAGATCACTTGCCAGGGAGTCAAAGCTCGCAGTGAGTTCATTATTGCACCACTGCCTCCGCATGCGTGACAGAGGGAGACCTGTTGAAAGAAGGAAAGAGAAAAGAAGAAGGAAGGAAGGAAGGAAGGAGAGGAATGAAGGAAGGAAGGAAGAAGTGAAGGAAGGAAGTGAAGGAGAGAGAAAAGTTTGACATGGTTCCAAAACAGAATATAAGAGAATAGACTACATAAATTGTGCATATATTCATGGTGAGGTGAATTCGACAGCATTACAAGTATGGGAATTTAAAAGCATGATGTTATATGAAAAAGGCAAGTCATACATTTCATAAAACTGGTGTTAACGCTCTAAAGCAAAACTTTAAAAGATGTTAACATAAAATCCAAGACAATGCTTGTCTCCGTGGGAGAAGGGTCATGTGGGGGTGGAGGGGAGGCAGGAAAGAAAAAAAAATGTTGCCCAGAAGAACTGCTGAAAGGGTGAAGGGGCCCCAACACAGTGATAGAATTCCAAGGGCTGGCAGGGCAGGGGTAGTTGTCACTAGTGGCAAGGGTAGCATTGCCTATAACCAAAGACTCTGGAAGTCTCCAACAGGAGGACTTCTTGTCCCTTTACCTCACCTCTCTTCTTTCACCCAAATTCTGAAGCCTAAGAAAAGACCAGAAGAACAAGGATGAAGGAAGAGAGTGGTGGTTGGGGGAAGATTCCAAGTAAGAGGAACAGCATGCTCAAAGGCCTGTAGGCCAAAAGGAGCAGGATGTGTTATAGAAACCAAAGGAAAACCAGAGTGACTTCACTGCAGTGAACAAAGCAAAGAGGTCACTCAGGAGAGTGGAGCCTGGTCAGTGGGGCTTTCTGAGTTCCAGTAAGGAACTTGGGTGTTATTCCAGGAGAAATCTAGGATTCTCCAAACAAGGGCTCAAGCCCCAGGAAAAAATTCTCTAAATGCTGTATACTCCCCTTTTGTAGACTTAGTCAACTGTAATTACATACTTGTCTGCTTCTGGGGCTAGAATACAAGCTCACGGACTGAGATGCTTGAATGTCATGCTCACCACTCTGTTGCAGCACCCGCCACAGTGCCTTGCTGGTAGTCAGTGTTAAATGTTGATTGGTGGAGTGAGTGAATGGTTCACTCTGCCTTATGTCCTGACTACCTAGATAACTGCCTTTGGCCTCCTGTGGACCTGAGAACACTGGGTTCCCAAATTCCTCACCTCCCTAGTTGAAGTTCCACTTGCTATCCAGGTCTCTGACCCTGGCTTTGCACATATTTCCTGCCTTGAAGATACCCATTCCCTAGTTTCTGTGCAAATAGAGCAAAGTTACTGAGTCTTATCACAGATTGTGCTGTTCTGGTTTTTAAATATTCTGATTCTTAAGAGAATGACCATATGCTTTTAAAAATAATTAGAATATAACAAATTAAGATTAACATTGGTATAATATTAATCATATTAATATTAAAAGATTGAAAAGTGATTCTGTAGGTTTTCTATAGAAAAACACCTACATAAACACAAACTAGCTGATTTGGAACATCACACATACAAGATCCACCTAGAGCAAAAAACAATTCTAGAGATTACTGACACTTTTGTTAGAGACAAATTTATACAATCCTCATAAGAAAAAATATTGCTGATGTTTGTTATAGTAGGTCTAACTCCCATGTTCACCTCCACTTCTGAGTGAGCTGCCTCACAGTGCAAGGTATTGTTAGCTGTGGGACAAGATATGTATTGACAGCCCCAAACACATGTAATATACAGATTCCAACCTGGTGTAAGAATAGAGCCCACCACTTTGAGACAAGGTAAATATCTTAGTCTATCTGGGCTGCTATAACAAAGGTAGTCTATAAACAGCAGAAATTTATTTCTGACAGCCCTAGAGGCTGGAAAGTCTGAGATCAAGGTGCCAGCAGATTTGGTATCCGGTGAGGGTTCACTTTCTGGTTTATAGATGGTGTCTTCTATGTGTGTCCTTCCACGATGGAAGGGCCTAGCTGGCTCTGTCCTTCAGTCCTTCCAGTGGTGGAAGGGCCTAGCTAGCTCTCTGGGGTCTCTTTCATAAGGGCACTAATCACATTCATGAGGGCAGAGTCTTCATGACCTAGATACCTACCAAGGGCCCTACCTCCTAATACTACCACCTTGAGGGTTAGGATTTCCATATGAATTTTTGGGGAAAACAGATATTTAGACCATAGCAGTGAGTTTCTGGTAATCTGAAATTGTTGAAATTGTTTCTTTTTTAGTTGGTAGATTTGGGGGTTATATAATTCATATTCTTTTTTTGAGACAGAGTCTCACTCTCTCACTCAGGCTGGAGTGCAGTAGCGCATCCTTGGCTTGCTGCAACCTCGGCCTCCTGGGTTCAAGCAACTATTGTGCCTCAGTCTTCCCAGTAGCTAGCATCACATATGTGAGCCACCACACCTGGCTAATTTTTTTATTTTTAGTAGAGATGGGGTTCACCATGTTGGTCAGGCTGGTCTCCAACTCCTGGCATCAACTGATCTGCTGGCCTTGGCCTCCCAAAGTGCTGGGATTACAGGTGTGAGCCATGGCACCTAGCCAGAATTCATATTCTGAATAAGAGTTATTAGGCCTTGAAGGGTTATTGACTTTTACTGATACCTTAGAAGTAAGCATTTCTGAGAATTCTGTGTATTGTTCCATGCAATATTTCATAAAAGATAGTCTGCACTACATTAAATGTGTTAGTCTCTAGGATATACAAGAATTGTCATGTGAGTAAACTCAGTGGATAGGAAGTATCCAGTGTAGTCCAGAATATTTCTGATACTCAAGAAACACATTTTATAGCTTGGCCTGATGGCGCTGATATAAATGGTCATAGGTTTCTAAAATTGGGGCACCATGCAAGGCATCTTGGAGTCTATAAATGTATTTGGCCTTGTGGGGTGTCAAAAAAAGACTTACTCTATTTGACCAAGAAAATCATTCAAAAAAGTAGGTCCAAAATTTAGATTCTGTTGGCCAGGTGAAGTGGCTCACACTTGTAACCTCAGCAGTTTGGGAAGCTGAGGTGGGTGAATCCCTTGAGCTCAGGAGTTTGAGACCAGCCCGGGCAACATGGTGAAACCCCATCTCTACAAAAAGTACAAAACTTAGCCGGGTGTGGTGGTGTGTGCCTGCAGTCCCAGCTATTCTGGAGGCTGGGGCCAGAGCATTGCTTGAGTCTGGGAGGTTGAGGCTGCAGTGAGCTGTCATCGCACTACTGTACTCCAGCCTGGATGACAGAGCAAGACCTTATTTCAAAAAATTTAAAAAGTAGATTCTAGAAACCCATATGCCATCTAAATAAATGCAAATCACTACCCAGAGTGTATCACTTTTCCGTAGTGTATATTGTTGAACTTCTTGCTGTAGATCGTTTCCTGTGGTTCGTTCTCAGGTACGTATGCAAAAAAGATAATTTCATCTAAAGAGGTGTGCTGTGGGGCAAGCGCAGTCTCAAAGCCCATATCTGGAGGCTGGAAACAGAGAAAAGAAAATATTATATTTAAACTACTTTATACTTCAATTATGAAAAAATTCAAGTCAGAGATTTATTTCCAGTTCACATTAAAACAATACTGGTATACTTATCAATTGGAGAACTATGTCAACATGTTTTGTTGGAACATCTACGTGTGTGCAAGGGAAGATGTATTTTCCTGTTAAGGAGGAATGGAAGTTCTGATGACTAAGATTTGGTGTAAGATTCCTATGCCCTTCGTGGATGGTTGGAGTAAAAGGGTACATGGAAACTTGACTTACATTGCAGGTGTGTGAGGAGCCCGGAGATGCAGATTTTAGAACTGGGTTCTCATTTGAAGTTTTATTTAGGAAAGGGCCCGTGAAATCCCTGTCCTCACTTGCTGCTCCTGATCTCATGCTAGAGACTCTGGACAGCTGCTGTCTGAGTCTCCCAACTGGCAGCATAAGCCGTTCTCCTTTCTTGACTCACAGATCTCCCCTTGCAGTCTACTCAGGCACTTCTGGCCTAGATTTCTGATCTATAGGTCTTTCTTTTCAACACACCTTTCTCTAATCCTGACCCTGTCCTGCTTGGAGAACTTTAAGGGGAGAGAAGAGAGGTAAGGACCATCCACAAAGGGGCTGTTGGGGTTGACTTTGTTGCTATGAGACAAGGTGTGGGTGGTAGATTATGCAGACTGGTTGGGGACGCATCCGTCCCATAGTGCCTCCAAGACTCATCTTCTGTCATGCCTTTTTCCCTAGTTACTGAATTTTGGGAATGCACTGAGAAGAAAGGGGAAATAGATGCCAGGAAAATAAATGTGGGACTGAGCCAAATGGCTTGAGGACTCTTGAAAATCACTGAAATGGCTAAATATCTTTAGAATTCTGTATGACACTGTAGCCTGGGAGTGGCAAGTGTATCCTAGGGAAAGTGTATGTAAATCCAATGAAAGGCAGCAGGGTGGCTAAGAGCACAGACCCCGGAGCCAGTTGCCTAGGATAGATGTCTAATCCCAATAACTAACCAGCCTGTCTGTCCCTCACTTTCTTCATAAGTGAAATACAAATAAATAGTTGTTATAAAGATTAAGAGCTCCAACACTGTAATAAGAGACAATGATTATTTTTATCCAGAGAGAATGCATGCATAGTTTGTGGAGAGGGAAGTGATATTGTTGAGTATGGCTTCATCAAACTTGTCCTAAGTATACAAATACCTGTAGGTTTTTTTTTTTTTTTCTTTTAATAATTTAAACTTTCACATAAGGGAACTAAGACACTTTCTACGAATTGTGAAGTTGGTGAAAAATGGAGGTAAATGCTTTTTTTGGGTTAGTTCTACGCTCCTGTCCACATCATTTGCTTTGTATAAATGCGGAATCCACGCCCCAGACGTGGGCAAAGACACAGGGCGTCACATGTGGCATCTTCACTCTCCCATGGAAGTTCCCGCCCTCTTTCTCTATGCAGTGCAGGGAGAGGGGAAGCTAAACACCATCCTCTCAACTGCAGCTGTGGCCTGGCAATTGGAATGATCTGTTAAAACCAGATTCATCTTTTGTTCCATTTCCTTGAAGTCAAAGGGCAGGTTTTACTAACCCCAGTCAAAAATATTTGATAATTTGCTGATGGTTTGAGAGTGTCCAATTTTGTAACTGGTGCCCAAGGATGAGCTACCTTCACAAGTAGCATACTACACATTAAACTATTAGAAAAACCTGTATCAAGTGTCATCTATAAAGAAGATAACTCCTTTTAATGTTGTCACTAGAAAAAGAAACCAGGGGGCAGGGTTAATAGGAAAGAAGAAAAGTAGACCATAGCTCATGTTCTCTTCTTTTTTTTGAGGCAGGGTCTTGCCCTTTTGACCAGGCTGGAGTTCAGTGGCACGATCACAGCTCACTTCAGTGGCATGATCGCAGTTCACTTCAGCCTCCACTTCCCAGGTTCAAGTGATCCTCCCGCCTCAGCCTCCCAAGAAGCTGGAACTACAGAAGAATGCCACCACGCCAGGCTAATTTTTGAATTCTTTTGTAGAGCTGGGGTTTCACCTTGTTGCCCAGGCTAGTCTCCAACTCCTGGGCTGAAGCAATCTATCCACCTCAGCCTCCCACAGTGCTAGGATTACAGGCATGAGCCACAGTGCCTGGCCTCACAACCCATGATTTTCCAGGGCCAACCTTAGGAGGTAGAGAATCATCCCTACCTTGGCCTGGGTTGGGAGTAATGGTTCTAGCTTAGAATGTCTAGTGGTATTCTGTTGTGAAGATATTTGCATGAAGATATTCTAGGTGGAATTGAAGCTATATAACCCCATATGGGAGTTGGAAGAAGACTTGGAGATGTTTGTGGCACATGGAGGTTCTTCTTTTAGTTAAATAGAGCAAACTGCGTTAATGAGTTTGTCCCAAGGAAAATACTTTCCCATTTTCCCATTATTCTGTGTATCGAATGTGGCATCTATTCTTAAAATAAGGCAAACTGTTTCAATGCATTATATACTGACCTGTCCAAAAAGATTTCTAGAATTTCCAAAGGCTGTGGGTGGTCCACTAGCTTCAAAGTGACCGGGAGTCAGCTTATGTAGGAATCCCAAGTGATCATAGAATAATGTGAAAATTCTCTCTTTAACAGTTCCAACTGCACCGTGTCTTCCCATTCCTATTAGGAAATAAAGAGAAGTGTCTTGATACTGATACAATAGAAGTCGAAAAACATTAATATCATACCTTGTAAAGACACCTTCATTTAAACTAAGAGGTGGAAGTAGGGCCCTGAGACTCCTGAATTAGGAAAATGCGTGTTAGTTTTTGTTAAGTCCCTGGGAAGTCATTTCCAGACTCCGTGTCACTACAGAATCTGTTCATTGAAGTAGGGGAAGAAACAAACAGAAGGGATGTTTAATTAAGAGATCTAGAGGAAAAGAAGTTAGGTCTCTCTAGCAATGGTTTCTCTTCCTATTACCAGCAAATCAGATTCCAGAAGAGGTAAAAGGCAGTGAGAAAATGCCTTAGGAAGGCAAGGGGAATCGTCAGTAGACATTGGTCGTTAAGTTATACTGGGATTAATATGTTGAACCAAACTGGGCATGCTGTGGTTCTCTCATCCTTAGGGCGCCACATTGAGAGGCACTGTCAGTAATCAGATGATGCCGCAGCATTCACTTAGCCAAGCAGACACTGGTCCTGAGACAGGGTCCCCTCCCTTGGAAGGAGCTAGAGTGAAAGATCATAGCTCTGGATGAAAAAGGCTAATTTCTGCACACTGCGTCTCACCCAAACCCACCCAGTTAGCTCAGGCTCTCCTAGTTCATTCTACACATTGGAGTGTCCAGGACTCAGTTTTTAGATTTCTTCTCTCACTATCTTTGGAGATCTCATACAGTTTCAGGATTTTAAATCCATCTTTAGATGGATAATTCCCAAATTTAAGTCTACCATCTAGTGCTCTTCCCTGAAGTCTAGGCTTACGTAGCTAACTGCCTTCCAACAGCTTCGTTCGATGTTGGTTGGGCCTCTCGACGTGAACTCATTCCAGACTGAGCTCCTGATCCTCACGCAAACCTCCTCCAGCCCCAGCCTTCCTCACCTTCATTAATGGCAGCTACATTATTGCTGCTGCTCAGCCCAAAAACCTCAGTGTCATTCTTAATTCCTCTGTCTCTCATACCCTGTATCGAATCCATCAGAAATCCTATTTACTCAAGCCTCATAATATATATAGACTCTAGCCACTTCTCACCTCTGTCACCACTATCACCCTGTACAAGCCACTGTCATCTCTCTTGTGCCTCCTAATTGGTCTCCGTGATTCTGCCCATAGCTCCCTTCAGTCTATTCTCAAAAAAGCATCCAAAATAACACTTTCAAAATGTTAAGTCACTTCATCCACTCCCGTTATCAAAACTCTCCATGGCTTCAACCTCTTTCTCAGTAAGAGTCAAAGTCCTTGCAATGCCCTCCAAGGGCCACCGTGGTCTGAATTCCAGTACCTCTCTGACCTTATCTTCTATGACTTTCTGCAATGCTTACTCTGCTCCAGCTACACGAGCCTGAGGTTGTCTATCTCCACATTAGATAATCTGTTACAGGAATAGCTGGGCTCCTTACTCTCCAACCTTACACTTTTAATATATTGTTCTTGCTTGTCTAGACTAATTCAGCCCTCCAATACAATGATGAATAGAGGTAGTGGTAGATGACATAGCAAAAGCTTTTCGTGTGTTACTAGAAAATCTGATTGGATATTTGCTATAGCTTCTTTCCCCCCTAGATACTCTTATTCAAGAAGTTACATTCTATTCTTGCTTTGATAAGTGTTTGTTTAAAAAATCATGAATGGCTGGGAGCAGTGACTCACGCCTGCAATCCCAACACTTTGGGAGGCGGAGGTGGGCAGATCACCTAAGGTCAGGAGGTCAACACCAGCCCGGCCAACACGGTGAAACCTCGTCTCTACTAAAAATACAAAAATTAGCTGGGTGTGGTGGTGGGCACCTGTAATCCCAGACAATGCAAATCAGGGCTGCAAATCTTACAGAGGCCTTCCAATGGCCATAACCTCTCAGACGGAGTTTTCTCTCTTTTTCTTTTCCTACCCACTTAACAAGATGACTTTGTTGTATTCCTTGGGGATATGTATGAGTGTGTATGGATTTACCTCTGATTCATCTTTGTCCTAAGGGTAGAGCCCTTAGGGGTTCTGGTGTATGGTGGGGCACACCATCTATTATTCTCACTACCTGGGTAGACTCAGGGCCATAACTCTTCATTAGTCCGCCAAATTCAAAGTCTAAGTTTGCAGGAATTTGTAAATCTCTTCAGGTCAAAAGGACTTTGGTACTGTGTGCCCTGTTTACCTCTCCAAGTGTATTAGCCTGTTTTCATGCTGCTAATAAAGACATACCTGAGACTGGGTAATTTATAAAAGAAAGAGATTTAATTGACTCACAGTTTCACATGGGTTGGGGAGGCCTCACAATCATGGCTGAAGGCAAATGAGGAGCAAAGTCACATCTTACATGGTGGCAGGCAAGAGAGCTTATGCAGGGCATAAGCTTTATAAAACCATTAGATCTTGTGAGACTTATTCACTGTCACCAGAACAGCACGGGAAACGCCTGCCCCCATGATTAAATTACCTCCCACCAGGTCCCTCCCACAACATGTGGGGATTATGGGAGCTACAATTCAAGGTGAGCTTTGGTTGGGGACACAGCCAAACCATATCACCAAGGTTTTGTTTTCCCTTAGAGTTTGGCCTGGTTGTTTCTATTAGCTTTTCAGGTTATCAATTTAGAAAATAATTTTTCTAAGTATTTTGTTAAATTATTCTCAGCAGCAAAGTGATGCCACAACTGGAAATAGATACTGTGTTCTGTGGATGATGTTCATTGTATCATTACTTATCCAGCTGCCCTATGTGTAACTCTTGACTATACCCACTTCCTCCTATTTCACAGCCAATCCTTCACAAACTCCCACTGGTTTCATTCATAATTTGCCATTGTTTTCTTCATACTTGTGGCCACTTTTCTAATCCAGACCCTCATCATCACACTGAAACTTTTAAAATAGCCTCTTATCAACATATCACTTGGCCTAAAATCTTACCTCTTCAGGAATCTGATTTGCTGGTAATAGGAAGAGAAACCACTACTAGAGAAACCTAACTTATTTTCCTCTAGATCTCTTAATTAAACATCCCCTCTGTTTGTTTCTTCCCCTACTTCAGTGAATAGATTCTGTAGTGACACAGAGTCTGGAAACGACTTCCCTTAGATTTAACAAAATCTTACATTTTCCAGTATATTCCCCTATATGATCTTTCTAAAATACAACTATGATTATATTAATAATCTTTTAATGGCATGATGAAATTCTTTAGCTTGACTCAAATGGAAAACTGGGTTCATTTACCTCCCTGCTCTCATCATCAATGAGTCATCCCTAGGAAATTTAGCTGTAGTATACTACATGTGCCCTATATTTCAACACTTAATTCCTCTACATGGAATGTTCCCTTATAGTCTTATCTTGATCTTCATATATTAAAGATTTAACACTGTCAATTTCAAATGTATTCTACTTTGGCACTTCAGTTGATTTCTTCTTATGTTCCTTATAGTTCATTTTTGTATATTTACATATCTTGTATTATTTTAGAGCATTGATTCAATATGATATAATTTTACTATTTATATTTTATCACAGAAAGAACTTTGTTTATTGAATACTTTCAGCCTAAAACTCTTGCTCTGTGTGTGAATATGAACATTACTGCCTCTGCTTTCTCTCCCAGTGTGTTTGGCACAGTTGTTCAAATCTTCATTCATATTTTTTTTCTCTCCACTTTAGCTTTAAGTTTTTCACTCCTGGCAATATATTTTAAGATTTTAAAATCCAAAATAAGACTCTGTCTTTAATTGAGAAATGTAGATTACCTCCAATATCTGCTCATTCCCTCATCTGCTTCAGGGCTGCTCACCAAGACTACAATACATGCTACACCACACAACACAACAAATGCTTCACCTGGCACTTCCTATTCACCTATCTCGCCTTTTTTTTTTTTTTTCCTGTGTAGCATTTATCTTACATACAGCCTATTTTGGTTTATTTGTTAATTATCAGTCTTTTCTGACAAGTGTGTAAGTTCCACAGGAAAAGAGACTGCTGTACCCTTAGTGATTGGAACAATACCTGGCATATACGAGGTACTCAATCAATGCTGTTGAGTAAATGAATCTGTAAAATTTATGGTGATAACTGCAGACCAGCTCCACTTTTGGTTATTCTATTTTATACTTTGTACATTTTCTGGTATGTCTTCTTTTCTCTTTTTCATGTCTATTTTTATGGGTTATTGTGTCTCCCTTGCTTTAATACATATACACAAACTTAAATGTATATATATGTGTGTGTGTGTAGACATTGTTGCCCCGGCTGCTCTTGACCTCCTGCGCTCAAGCGATGCTCCTGCCTTGGCCTCCCAAAGTTCTGGAATTACAAGTATGAGTCACACATCTAGTCTTCTTTTGCTTTTTAAGACTTATATTGTACACACTTCTTCTTTTTTTTTTTTTTTTGAGACAGAGTCTTGCTTGTCACCCAGGCTGGAGTGCAGTGGCACGAACTTGGCTCACTATAACCTCTGCCTCCCGGGTTCAAGTGGTTCTCCTGCTTCAGCCTCCCAAATAGCTGGGATTACAGACACCCGCCAGCATGCACATTTTTAAAAATTCTGTGAATGATCACAATAAAGGATTCCAGAAAAATTCCTAATTCCATGTAAAGTTATACTCAGATAAACAGATAGGATTTTGGATTGCCTTTTAGGGATGGCAAAACTTTGGCTTTTTGGTTTTAACTTTTTGTTATTCCTCTTGTCTTTTAAATTATTGATTATTTTATCATGCAGTTCTGAAAGTCTCCAACTGTGTTTTTATTTTTTGGTCAATAATATTCATAATTATTTCCTCTGAATCACACGTAGTCAGGTTTTTTCTTATGCTCCCGTGAGCTTTTCAGTAGCAAAACTTTGCTGATGTAATTGCTAAGGTTCAATATGCCATATTTTGTGGATAAATATGGCAAGAAATGCTTGTTTCACATGTTAACAGCTTAGAAATTGAGACACGTCTTATAATTGATGTGTCTTAT